ATATATATGTTTATAAATAAAGCGTCTATACATAAAATTGATGCAGTGGATATACTAATTTTCAAAAGCTACATAATCCTAAAAAGTATATCTTTACTTACAAAACAAACAAAAGTATCATATATCCAAAGTCCTTAAGTTCTATTCTAATAGTAACCCAAAAAATAAATCTTCTTCCACCAGCTTGTGCACTACATGAACCGGATGTCAGGAATGCTACTCATCCTAAAAAGAAAATAAATATAATTAGATTTTGATAAAAAGAAGCAATAAAGTACAAATGTAAAAAACGAAATAGTGGAAGCTTATTTTACTGCAACAACTTACAACAACAATAACAATATACCCAGTATAATCTCAATTTACCCAGATCTTACCCCTATCTTGTGAAGATAAAGAGGCTGTTTGGGAAGCCATGTAAAAGCAACACAAAAAATATCAAGATACTAAGATGACCAAAATGACTCCGTAACAGGAAGAATCAACCTGAAAAGAGCTTAGTGGAAACACAACATTAACTTAAAAATCACTCTCAGAAACATGGTTGGGAATATTAGATTAATAATGCACGACCAAGAGAAAGAAACAATCACCCACAATCTAGATTATGTGCAAAGGTAAAGTGCATCATGACTGAAAGCACTCTTGATTTAATGCTTATTTCAAACTATTTGGTATTTGGTATGGTTATCTTTTTTCCTTTTTTTCATTTTCCACAGCTAGGCAGGAAGTTATATAATTCTGTTCACAAACAACTTTTGTATATTTCAAGTCATCCTCCCATAGGTATTCAGACCAAAAGTCTTCTTGAAACCAAATACTTAAGAAAAATTAATAATATATTTTAATGAGGAATAGNNATAGGCATGTAAGCAGTGTAAGCTTGATTAAAATACTCCCCAAAATAAAATTGCATCAGAACATACTAAATATTCCCAAAGATACAATACTATAGTCGGAAAAAAATTTAGACAAAGATTGATTTATTCAAATAGATTCATTTGCATATACAGCTACAGGGCCTACTGCTACTGTTCTATCCGGTGGAATAATCACCTTCAACTTTCCATTGTCACTATCTTTCCGTTTCTTTTGAACTGAAAGCCCTGTTGTCTTCCCCCTTCCCTTTCTCTTTTTTCCTTCGGCAACATAGGAAGATATTTAGGTATATAGCAAATTAAATCTATACAATCAAGAGATTTTAAAGGGCTAGAATTTTAACAAATGAAATAACTTACCTGGCTTTAAATTTGAAACTACATCGGTAGCAGATTAAGTATTACTAGAAACATGCACATTTATTGTCATGATAGGCTGTAACATGTTAAAAATTATATTATTGGACATTAGCCAAATGAAAAAGTGAAGGCAGCAAAATAATAAGAAAAAAATAAGATATGTTCAGAAAAATGAGAAACAAATAAATTTACAAAGAAAAAATCACAAAAAATAAAATATAAAAGGAGTAGTAGAAAGTTGAAATTAACCATTTCGGCAGGGTGATGGATAGAAGTCGTGTGAAGAAAGCGATTGAAATAAGCAAAGTAGTCTTGAGGACTAGATGAAGATCACAACCAATCATCATCCTCGTTTTCATTATCTTCTTCCTCGGAAAGATATTCTTCATCAGTTGCAGAATTATTAAATTCATCCTCATTTTCATGATCAGATTCATCCCCAACTTCTAAATCTACTTCTTCCTCATTATTTAGAGAAGGTGCTTCAACACTCACTCCATCAATATCTTCTCTTTGTATTATTATGACATCATTGTTCGATTCTGCTTGAAGGCTTGCTTCTTCCCTTTCAACCAAGTCAATTAATTGATATGGCTCCGCTTCTTCTTCTTGTTCGGGAATATCATACAAATTTCGTGGTCTTACCCTTACCACAACATTTCTCACTTTGACCATGTTTAACATAATACACAGATTGAGCCTGCGAGCCTAAAATGAATGGATCATTTATGTAATGGAGTCGTGTCACATCTACACGTATGAATCCATATTCATCCCTTTCGTAACCTCTGCTTTGACTTCGACCTTGTGGAGGAACTTCAAACCAGTCACACTTGATAATATGACTGAATTACCCATATAGTGGATATCTAAAATCTCTCTTATCTTTCCATAATAATCAATATTTTTTGTATGTTCATCACTCTTTACAACTACACCACTATTTTGGGTTTTCAAATATAGCTCAGATTCTATTGTTTGAAACCTAAAACCATTTAAGATATATCCTTTATGGCAATAAACACAATTATCCGGAAGTCTTGCCAAAGCTAACAATTCATCGGTAACTCGACCATCACCATTCTCTTTTAACTGGACCACCTATAATATTTGTGTGCAAAGTCAAAAACTTTAATACTCCTTATGAAAGTAAAATTCAAAAATTATCCTAAATAAAAATAAACTAGCATTAAATGATATAGTTTACCTTTTCTTCAAACCACAAAGGAAATTCCTCCTTGTGCCTCTTGGCTATATTTCTATTTTTCTTCTTTGCCAATATATCTAGATGTTCTCTATGGATTGGAAAGATTTAGAGAAAAATAAAGAATATTACATCATACTCGATAAAGGTATTCATAAGAAGAAAAGGATGTAACTAAATGAAAAGTTATCTTACTCAATCCAAGGTCTGACCTCCTCACAATTTTGGAGGATATAAAAATGAGCTTGGTTGATTTCAAGATTACTTAAGCTTTTCCATTCACCCCCTGCTAATGACTTACCATGACAGTTAAATATGGACAAGCCATTGGGATTTATGTTGGGAGAATCAAAATTTCTATCCGGACGACTTTGCTTTGTCTCCATATCAATCAAATATTTAGAACAAAATACCATACACTCCTCCGCAAGATAGCCCTCGACAATTGATCCTTCAGGGCGAGCTTGGTTGCGTACATAACCTTTTAACGTGCGCAAATATCTATTAAGTAAAGATAAATTAGTTTTGTAACGAATTTCTTCTAAAAGAACAATTGAAATAAGTAAAAATCTAACCTTTCAATGTAATACATCCATCGATATTGAACATGACCACCCATTTTTGCCTCATTTTCCAAATGAATTACCAAATGAATCATAACATCAAAGAACGTTGGCAGGAACACACGTTCTAATTTACAAATTGTCGTCCGTATGCTTTTATCTAGTTTCTCTAACCTTTCCACATGCAACTCTTTAGTGCACAATCGCTGAAAAATAATGACAATTCAATTAAGGGATCATATGCATCCTTTGGCAAAATTCCTTTGATGATAAGTGGAACAATACGCTGAAAAAGGATATGATGGTCATGACTTTTAAGTCCAAATATTCTACCTTCATTAATATTGACACAACGACCAATGTTAGAAGCATAAGCATCAGGAAACTTGACTTCTTTGATGAGTTGACAAAATTGAATCTTCTCAGCTTTAGACATTGTATAGCTTGCCGGAGGAAGTATGTACTTATCCCCACTTTTTATTGGATGAAGGGGCTTTTTAATTTTCATCTCTTGTATATCCAATCGAGATTTCAATGTGTCCTTTGTTTTCCCTTCTATATCCAATAGAGTTCCTATTACACTTTCACTAATGTTCTTTTCAATATGCATCACATCCAAATTATGTCTCAACAATAAAGTCCTCCAATATGGGAGTTCAAAGAATATACTTTTCTTCTTCCAATTGTCACATCTTTTGGTATCTCTTTTTCTTTTTCTTGTGCTACCACCAACTAACCCTTATGAAGATGTATTAAGTTGTGCAAGAACATCATCTCCACTCAAAGCTTGTGGTGCAAGTCTTTCTTCCTTTGTATTATCAAAAGAACTTTTATTCCGGCGATAAGGATGATTTATCTCCAAGAACCTACGATGACCCATATAGCAATGTTTTCGACCATGTTTCAAGTAAATGGAACAAGTATGTACATGACAAACTGGACAAGCTAATTTACCTTTAGTGCTCCAACCGGATAACATACCATAAGCTGGAAAGTCATTAATCGTCCACAACAAAGTAGCACGCAAGTGAAAATTTTGTTTCTTAAAAGCATCATAAGTCTCAACTCCACTCTCCCATAAGGTTTTTAAATCATCAATCAAGGGTTGGAGGTATACGTCAATATCCATACCAGGACTTTTTGGTCCAGGAATAAGTAAGGATAATAAAATATTAGATTGTTTCATGCATATCCATGGGGGGAGATTGTATGGAATTAAAACTACTAGCCACATGCTATAGGCATTACTCATCGAACCAAAAGGATTAAAACCATCTGAAGCAAGCCCAAGTCTTACATTACGTGGACCTGAAGCAAAACTTGAATGTTTTTCATCAAAAGTTTTCCACGCCAATGAGTTAGCTGGATGCCTTAATACTCCATCATCAACTCTCTTATTTTTATGTCACCTCATATCTTCCGTGGTTTATTTTGTCATAAATAATCGTTTTAATCTTGGTATCAAAGGAAAGTATCTAAGAATCTTTCTAGGAATTCTTTTATTTCTCTTATTCAAATTTCTTAAAGCAACTTCATCATCAATATCTTCTCCTTTTTTTACTATCCATCTTTTTTCACTACATTTAGGGCATTGCTCAAGATCAGCATATTCCTTTCTATATAAAACGCAATTATTAACACATGCATCTATCTTCACATAATCTAGACCCAAATCTTTTATGATCTTTTGAACTTCATAAATAGAATTAGGGAGCATATTTCCTTTGGGAAGAGCATCACTCAGTAATTTCAACAAAGAGTCAAAAGAAGTATTACTCCAGCCATGTAGATACTTCATCTGAAAAAGACGCATTACAAATGAGAGTTTGGAGAACTTTTCACAATCTGGATATAACTTTTGCTCTGCATCCTTTAATAACCTATAGAAAGTTTTAGCTTCTGTATTTGGCTCTTCGTACCTAGACTCAATGGTCTCATCAAACTCATGATTATTAGAGGGAACACCACGATACATGTCATGCAACATTTCAAAAGTGCGAGCATCGTCATTCCCTAAATTTGAATTTGTATCAGAATTTGTTTCTTCTTCTGAAGATGAATCCGGCTCACCATGATAAATCCACCTATCATAGGTCGGATCTATTCCCCACCTAACTAAATCTGTCTTAACCTCATCGCGTGATTTTCTAAGCACATTATTACATTTAATGCATGGACACTGGATTCTTACACCAACCTCAGGATTAGAAAATGCAAAGTTTAAAAAATATTCCACACCATTCAAATATTCCGGTAATGTCCTATTCTTAATAAGTAGCCAATTCTTATCCATCATATACTTACCTACAATGAAATATAAAATAAAAAATGTAAAACTATATAATTTAAATTGTAAAACTATATAATTAACTTTCTTTCATAAGTTCACTACTACATAATACAGGAAGTTCACATCCTAATGATTTACTTTGGATGTAGTTAAATATTCAAGATAATTGGAACTTAAAAGGAGTGATGAAGTATGATGATAGACAGATAATACCAAGAATTCAAATATGTGATATGCAACATAGAGTTTCCAGTACTAATTAGTTTTAAGGACCAATAAGTAGGTTCATTCTGTTAACTCCAAAACCAATAGAAAACATGTGAAGTCCAAGTATCACATAGTCACACTTCCATAAGCTCTAGTATTACACGTTTTGACTTATTATCTAAAATAGAAATTAGAGAAAGTCTCTATATTAGAAAATAGTTAAAATAAAAGCATATAATTTAAACTAATAGCCACTGAAGCAAAGGAAGATGAGTAGCATCTTGAAAAAGTAATAACAAAAAAAAAGATAGCAAGTGAAAAAAAAAGAATCTGAAGTTACTAAAAATTAAACAATAGATCTGCTACTACTAAAAGAAAAGAAACTCTAGATTTTAGCTTTGATAACTAAAACTAAGGAGAATAAATAGTTTCTATTTTAAGCAAAGCATGTTTGATTAACTAAAAATTTAAATTGATTCCATTAGGCATGGTAAGTTGAGCTGTTTGATGACATGTTTATGTGGGACTTCTTAAACAGACTTGATATCTCTTTGTTTGTTTTTCTGCATCCTTACAAGGGCACTTTAGTTCAAGATTATGGGAAAAAGCTGATATTTCCCCAAAGTTAAAAGTTGAAGAGACATATCAGCTGTGAGTTTTCCATATCTAGTGCAAACTTTTTCTTTGAAACTCTCCAGCTTCCATGACAAGCCTTTATAACTCTTGTCTACATCACAAACATATACAATTCTTTCTTTGAACAGGACAACCATATCAAATTCTTATTCACTTGTTATTTTTCAAGAGTAGACATATACGTTTTTTGTAAAAAATGTGTATTGTTTTATATCCTTGGCAAACCAATTACACTGTTCTATGGCCAATTTTTGCATTCACTTTGGGGCGCCTCTGAAGCTTTTGGATGTTTGACTCTTTTTGTGGTATTAATGGCTGCACTTGGTTTCACAATAAATTGGGGACTCCCATTTTTCCGGATGAAACAAAGAACAGATAAAGGCACCAATCTTTATCAAATTCGGAGAAAAAGTAGAAAATAGCCCATATTGTAAATCATCAATCCCAAATCTCACTCTCACACCATTAATTCCCCCAAAAAAGAACGTCAAATAGCATGACCATGAAAAAAATTAAGAAAATTATATAGAAAACACTCACTATAACAACCAAGAAAAGATCAATGACATCTCATATTACAAAACAATTCAAGGAAATCCTAGTAAACAATCATTGACTAGTGATTAAGGTATCACAAATTAAGAAGAATGATACGATTAAACTAAATCAAAAGCAGAAAGCAATAGATATTGAGAAGAAACGAAATCAAAAGCGAGAACTCACCAGATTTTGGGTTGAACACAGCGGAAGAGATCAAAAAATCGAACACTCAGATGCAAGAACTTAGTTTAGATAATGAAAAGAGAAAACCTAGATGCAGTGGAAACTAAAATTGAGCGCTAAAAAGTTGGAAAAAAGTAATAAAATAGGGAAATCTGTTTTGGCGCGTTTGTTTTGGCGGAAAACTAAAAGTGATTTACTAAATTTTTGGCCACAACTCAATGGAGTTGTTGAGAAAATTTTATGTAATAGCAACAACTAATATTTGTTATTGCCAATTATTTTTATATTTTATATTTATTATATTACTCCTAAAACAAAGTAACGAGAATCTAAAATATTTGGTAACAAGAAAAACCTTGTGGTTAAAAATTTTGTGATACAACAACAATCTAATTATATTGTTGCCATTTATTAAACTTAGCCAACAACCATATTATTGTTGTTAAAAAGTCGTTGCTAACTTATATATATTTAAAATTTATTATATTGTTTGTTAAATATGGCAATGATATTAAAACTTTTGCTAACAAAAAAATTTTTGTGGGTAAAAATTCTATGATATAGCAACAACTAAATAAAGTTGTTGTCATTTATTATATTTTGCAACAATATTATTGTTGTTGCAAAAAAATTGTTGCTAATTCTATACTTTCTTGTACTGTTAGCTGAGATTTACCTTTTCACCTTCATTAATTGATTTAATCAAAAAGGTTTCAATATCTTTTGGGTCAAACAATTTGGCACCGTCTTTGGGGATTTCTTTAGCTAAGATTTTAGTTTCATCTAGTTTTGCATAAACTAACCCTTGAAAGAGATAATCGCCTCTTCCTAGCTTTGCACAAGTTAACAATGGCAGGGAAAGGAGATACAAGGCTGAAAGCAATAGTAGGTGCCTCAACCAACCTCCTAAACACCATCGACGAAGACAACAGGGAGGAGAATGAAAACGGAACACCAAATGCCACACCTAGAGGAGAAGCTTCACCTCCCCCACATGAAAGCGTAATCGCTTCGCGCAAGAAGGAAGCCTCCACATCCGCAACAGGAGAAGCACCACTAGATGTGAAAAGGCTATTGGAAGAGTGGCTGACAAACACTCTGAGCAACATACTTAATAAACCCGTTCAAAGGGATATCGGAGGCACAATGCACATAGACGTTGTAACAATCGCCGGTGAACTAGAAACTCCACGCACAAGTAACACTCATATTATTGTTGATGCAGGTAACGACGCACTCGCATCCATCCTAAAGAAAATGGAGGAGATGGAAAGTGAGAACAAGGCGCCCCGTGATTAGATGAAGGAGCATCAAGAAAGGGTTGATAAAATGCCGGGCATTTCGAAGTTACTACCAAAACAGGACGTCGGTTGATTCGTCGAGCAACCATACAATGAAGGGGCACACCTCACGCCATTCCAAAAACCTTCAAAATGACACCATACTTGAAAATATATGATGGTACTCGGACCCTGAAGATCACATAATTCATTACGTCACAGCCGTAAAAGGCAACGATCTGTCAAAAGAACAAGTGTCGTCGCCCTGACAGGGGGAGCGTTGACTTGGTACTCACAATTACTAGCACGATCAATATCAATGTTCGAAGAAATGGCCGACAAATTCGTCACCGCTCATGCAGGAGCGATAAAGGCAGAAGCCAGGGTAAACGACATCTTCGTTGTTAGACAGACGATGGGCGAAGGACTCAGGGACTTCCTAGCCAGATTCAACTGGGTGAGAATGAGCTTACCAAACGTATCAGAGGGGATGGCGGTAGCAGCCTTCCAAACGGGTTAAGCAGGAATAGGTCGAAAGCGACCAAAAAGCTGTTAAATAGGCTCATAAAATACCCTCCGACCACTTGGGAAGAAAACCACAACACCTATTGTGCTGAAGTAAGGGCAGACGAGGACGACCTCAATGGTATGATCCAACGGCTGACATCAGTCCAAACTGAAACGAGGAAAGATCGCCGCAAAGATGGTCGAAGGGATGAACTACCCTGTCTCAGTCGAGAGAGGCATCAACCTTACATCCGGACATCCATCCCACTCCCTCCACGACATGCAGACATCACTCTTCGACATGTCGCGCCACACCGAAATGAAAGAGGTAGGCCTCCACTATTATCTGCTCATAACTTTTGTGTTTCTCCTTCAGAAATAGTGTAAGCACTAGAGAAGCTCGGCACAAAGGTGCAATGGCCGCAAAAGATGAAATCCGACCCGAGCACCCGAAAATCAAATGTTCTATGCGAATTCCATCAGGAAAGGGGGCATAAGACCGAAGACTGCATAGGCCTGCGGTAGGAAGTAGTAAGAATGCTAAGCCAGGGATACCTGAAAGAACTGCTGAGTGATCGAGGACGGGCTAACTTCGCTCGAGGGCGCGATCAACCTCAGGGACCCCCAAAACCACCTTCACCTGCTCGTACTATATAGATGATCATCAGTGGCAGCGATGATACGACAATCAACCACATAAATTTCACCACTACACACAAACTCAAATGGTCAATCGCTCACAAACGGTACGATAACCTCGAAGATAGTATCATATTCGATAAGTCAGATGCCGATGGTTTGTCTTTCCCTCACTATGATGCTCTTGCTTTAACTTTACATGCAGTGGATACCAATGTAAAAAGAATAATGGTGGATGACAAAAACGGCGCGTGTATTATCCATCCTCGAGTACAAATGAGACTTGAGGATAAAATAATACCGCATTGCATAATGCTAACGTGTTTTAATAATGCAGTTGAACGAAACTTTGGAGAGATAGTGCTGCCCGTTTTGGCAGGAGGATTCACTCTGGAAACAACGTTTCACGTCTGAACCAAGAAACAACATACAACGCCATCATAGGGCGCCCATGGATACACGTCATGCGGGCCGTCCCATCAAGTTTCTATCAAGTAATCAAATTTCCTACTCCATGGGGAATATTTAGCATCCGTGGCGAGCACCGCACCGCCCAAGAATGCTACCGAATCACCCAGGATTGTGCACGTACCCATCAACTAAAAGGAGCAAGTGCGGAAGCATAACAATCAGCCATATCGGGAACCAAACCCGACGTACAAATGGAGGCTATCAAAGACCTGGACGTTGTAGAAGCCTACGAGACAACCGTAGAGGACCTCGATCCTTTCCAACTGGACAACAACGACAGTAAGAAAAAAGCTTATATCGGGCATAACCTCTCAGAACCAGTTAAGTTCCGTAAATTCTTAAATGATAATGCCGATTTATTTGCCTTCTCCCATTCAGATATGCCAAGCATCCAAGAGACATCACCACACACAAGCTGAATGTTGACCCCCTCTACCCGCCTGTGCGGAAAATTAGGAAAAAGTTCAACACCGCAATCAACAACGCAATTAGCGAAAAAGTCGATAAGCTACTCGCTAATGGCTCCGTCCGAGAATCAAAGTATCCTTAGTGGGTCGCCAATGTGGTTATGGTGAAAACAAAAAATGGAAAGTGGCAGATTTGTGTCGACTTTACCGACCCAAACAAAGCATGCCCGGAAGATTTCTTTCCATTACCACATATCGACCAGCTCATCGATGCAATGGCAGGGCACGAGTTGCTAAGCTTCTTAGATGCCTATTTTGGTTACAACCAAATTCTAATGGCAGAAGAAGAAAAAACTACTTTTATCACTCACCGAGGAACGTACTGCTGTAGAGTCATACTGTTTGGACTCAAGAACGGGGGAGCAACATACTGTCACACCTCCTTTTTCCGCCCCCGCGGGGTGCAAGGAGTTTTTTCCAATTAAAGGACAGT